AATTACGATTAATATTTTTGGCAACATTGGACAACTGTCTCATTCTGATTGTCCTGCTTGATCCATCTTGCATTGGCTTGAAATTTACCAGTCATCCTCTTGAATTTCCAACAAATGATGCTGTATAATGGCATTGAGCACTTTAGGTGCTCAATTTATTTATCCAGATAGCTACTTAAAATTTAGACCATGGTTCCTAGAGTCTGCTGATGCCATAATCAATATGCAGGATGCTGTTTCAGGTTTAGATGCAGTTGAATAGTTTGGAACTCTTTTTCTTTAAAAATGCAAAAGGATAGTAAAGAAGTGGCTTCTTCCACAAGTCCTGCTTCAGGACCTGTGTCCCACTCCTTGTCTGAGAGCCTGTAACTAAATCTGCTGGTAACTGATCTACTGTTGTAAAATGATTAATTTAAATGCCCTTTCCTTAAGGTTTGCTACTGGATACAGCATAGAGAATGCGTACTTCAGGTGAATTTAAAGACTGGAGTTTTAAGGGGACTGCTAATTTATGCCCTGATCCTGCAGCATGTTAGCATGGTTCTAGCAATTTGTACAACACAATATATAAGACTTGTAAGACAACTCTTTGCCATGCTTTGTTTAATTAGCCTGAAATAAGGTTCAGGTTCACTTTACATGATGATTGTAGTTGACTTCCGTATCTGATACATACCCAGTCCCCCAGAACAAGACAAAAATAACCTTTCTTTTACCTTAGTATCCCCTCATGTTAGTGTATTGCATAGTTAGAAATTATTCATTTGTGCATGGAAGCCAATGCTCGACAAATATTTAAGAAATTATGGGGGGAAATTAGGAGATAAAACAATTTAAGAGAAACAAATGGTGAAAGAGGAGAGTTGTAAAACTGATCAGTTGTTTTTTACACTTGCTGCCATGGTAATGAACAGGAGTGGATGATACGTGTTTTGGTGGTCTTAATTTAAAAAAATGAGGAAGGCAGTGAGCAGTATTATTTTTATTCTATTTTCAGCTAGTAGCTACTAGCTAGTATTCTATTTTCAGCTCATAAGTCTGTTTTAAATATCAGGAAAATAATTGTTCAAAAAAGGCTATCAAAATACATGCACATTCTTAGGGGAGGAAGGACAACACGTTGCTTCCAAGACATTTTATTTCGCTGTCACAAAAAATGATATTGACTGACACCAGAGGGAGCTGCATTCCTGTATCCCTTTCTTACTGAAGGGTTAATTGTGAATAGAGCCCTCTGAGACAAGACAAAAGTTGTGAAAAGAATAATGAGGTGAATAATACATTCCTTAATTAAAAATAAATAATAATGTTTCCTCTTATTTAAATGAAAAAAACTTGTGCTCTGTTAATAAAAATAAATGCCAGTATGATGGACTGAGAGAACAGCTAGTAATATTGGAGGAATATGGCTTGTCTTTTGAAAATGACAAATTTTTGTATATTTCTGGTCAATTTAGCAAGTTTTGCAAATACAGTAAAATAAGCTTTTCACAGATGTTAAAATAATTTATTTACAGAAGTCTATATTGTCATTTAATTTAATAACCAAACGAAGATCACTGGTCTTTCTAAGCTCGTATTATGTATCCAGCTGTGACCAAGATCCTAGGGCGTTATTATTTTAATTGTCATAGTCAGCTGTCATTCGCTTTATTGTACTGCATGATACGAGTAGAGTTTTTCATCAAGCAGTCCCATAATGATGTAAATTTTCTGAAATGTTAATAATACTTTGGAATATCCATTCTATATAATGGAATTAATTTTGATTCCTTACTCTTCTAACATATTACCCATAAATTAAGTAGAGTGAGATCAGCTTTGTTTACTAATGTATTTTTTATCATACTTTTTTTTACTTATTTGAGTTTGTGACGCTTTGTTCAGTGTTATCACCTGTAATCGTTATCTTTTGTAATCCGTTCAAAATTGAAGATCTATTCATATAGAATACACACAGAGACAGCAACATAAACACTGGTTTATAAATGTTGTATACATATATACATTCACATACAGTATTCTTTTGAACAAAGTTGTACATTTCACTAAAAGCAAACATTTTGCTTTGCTTGAAAAAGCATTAGTTAAATATACTTCAGGCTAAATAAAGAGGCTGCCAACGGGCATGTAGGTAGAGACATTATGGTTGGCATACCACTTCAAACATGACAGGTTGTTTTTAATGTATTTCCCATTTGAGGATTAGTGTTCATAAACATAGGCAAATTATTCCTTGCAATATGTTTGTGGCTGTATGCAAGATAATGAAAAGATTTCTAAGACAGATTATATGCAATTGGAGCTCATTAATGAGATAGATGAGTTGTAAGCCTGATGAAATGATATAGATAAAACAAACTGTAGCCTTAAAATACACCTATAAAAGAGAAGTTACTGGATTTGGGACCCCTGCAATTTACTTTTTATTCTATACGTGAAATTTTACACTTGATTTTAATGCTAATTCACATGTCTCTGAATATTACATGAATTGTCTAATTAAAATGAACAATATATCTGAATATACTATCTGAAATACATTAAATTTGTAGTAAATGTGTATTAAAAGTTTAGTAATCTTGCTCTTAGTGGATCACATTTTTAAGTAATTTCTCTTGCTTCAGATACAGGTTAAAGAACATAAACTTTTCAGAGTTTCAAGACATATATTAGAAAGTCTTATGTTAGATGAGTTGCCAGCTAAGTAGACTTCGCTAACTTTCCATCTCTATTTTACTGTGGGCTGGTACTTAAAGACAAAGATTCTAAGAATGGCTGCACCTTTGATCTGCTTCTCACTGTGGCTAATAGCAGATGCTCCAAGAATGAGAGCAAGGCAAGCATGTACTATGTTCCTGCTAATCTCCCAGCCTCCAGCTCTTTCCAGCGTGGAAGCCTCTTTGACCAGTTGGGGTTTCTGTGTATTTACTAGTGGTCAGTGTGTTTCTTTTCCATTACTTAGTATCATTGGCAAACTTTAATCTCCTTTTTTTCCAGGTCATTTATGGGTATCTTGAATAGCATAGGTCCAGTACAGAAACTTATGAAAACTCACCTTTCTCAACTGTGAAGTCCAGTGATTTACTCCTGTTTTGTACCTTTTGGGGAATTATTTATCTGTGCCATGTCGCTTCTTTATTATGGCCCATCTGTTAAGTTTTCCTAAAAAGCTTTGATTAAGGATTTTCAAAACTCTCTTGGATATCTAACTAGATCATAGTCTCCATCCATGTGCCTATAAACCCTTCAGAGATTTCACTTTAAAAAAGCTTTGTTGTCTCTTCTCTAACAAGTCATCCAGGTGTCTACTAATTCAGTTCGTCATAGTGATTTATACTAACTTGTCTGGATGTTGGGCTTACAGGCTTGTAGCTCTCAAGATGTTCCATGAAAAAATTTTTGAACCTTACTGTTGTGCTTGCCACCTTTCAGTGTGTATTAAGGAGACTTACAAATTGTTACTAATATTTTAGGGGTCATTTTGTCAATTTAGTTTTGTAATTTTTACATAGTCCCTTCAGTTTCTTTGAGCCTCCCACAGAGAGTTCTGGCAGGAGGGTCTCGCCAGTTCCTTTCACTGAACACCAGTGGAAAGTGTTAAATTAGCTTGTCCACAAGGGTCTTGTCTTCTCTGAGTACTCCTTTATACCTTCATTACCAGCTGGCTCTACAGACTCTGTGGAAGGCTTTCTTGCTCCTCACGTATTTGAAGGAATATTTATTATTAGTTTGCTAGTTGTTCCTCAGGCTAGTTTTTGGGTTTTATGTTTAATATGCCAGAATTTATGATCCTTTCTATTTTCTTCATCTGTACATTTCTTCTATTACCCCCTTTTATATTCTGTTGTTTATAGTCATGCTGGTTTTCTATTGCTATTACCTAAGTCTTAATAAATGGTATGCACCGGCCTTGTGCTTACTCCATAGTATCTTTAAGTAGATTCCACAGCACCTGTAGGGATTGAATTTTTGTCCTTTTGATGTGTGTTTTTTAAAAATGTCCTCATTTTTATGTATACTTCAAGATGTATTGTTCACCAAAGGCAAAATTTTCATAACTATCCTTTCCTATGGTACCTGTCAGAACTTGTGTGCGGACCAGGCAGTTAGAAATTTGTGAGATTTATACTTCCAAACCCAACGTAAGTGCACAAACAGTACACAGATTACATATGCACAGTACGGTAGAACGTTTTAAAAGCTATCAAGTGGTATTTTAGAAATGTGGCTACAAATTTTGCTAGGCAGTCTGGTGGGTTTTTTCAGTGGCATTGGCAGACTACTCAAGTTGTAGGGGGGCATTAGAAGCACTATATGGAGTACTCTGTAGAAAAGAAACTTGTTACTGATCCTTTTCTCATGATATTTGAATCTCCTGCTCTTTTGGGCTAAATGTGTGATGGCCATTGAAGTGAACAAAGGAGATTCTTCTTTTACTTCAGACTATAAATTGGTCAGTTACTAGAATTTTGATCCTTCAAAGTAGGATTTATTATTTTAGTGTGTGTTTTTTTGAATGGGCTGGTTCAAATTAACCTAGATGTAAATATCTGATCTTCTGTTTTGACAGGTACTCTGTACAGTAGGAGTGGAAGCTGTGCTTCATTTTGAGAAATGTTGAGATAAATTTCACTTGTAAAGATTAGTTATTGCTCATACAGGAGCAGCTTCAGGTGCTGGAAATCATCCTTTTATACATATCCAAGAAACTAATCAGTCTAGTTTCTTGCATATCAGCATAGTTAAATTAATTTATACCAGCTGAATATCTGGCCTGTAATGTATTAAATCATTTCTGATAAATAAATTACAAATTATTTATTTAACTTTTCTTTACTTTTCTGAAGCATTCTGAATGGGCTCAGTAAGTACAGGTTGTTACAAGTGATACTCATGCATCTTAGATTTACTTAAAATAGAAATCTTTTTCAGGGCAAACTCATTTGGCTGTCTTGTAGTATGCTTGATTGTTTTTATTTTTTTTTTTCATATTTCAGGTAAATATGCTGAAGATATATTTGGTGAACTTTTCAATGAAGCACACAGTTTCTCATTTAGAGTCAACTCCTTACAAGAACGTGTAGATCGCTTATCTGTCAGTGTTACACAACTCGATCCAAAGGAAGAGGAATGTAAGTTAACTCCTGGATTGAAGATTTCTTATTTTGTCACTCAGACGCCATTGATAAGTGAAATGGAAATAATAATAGTTTAAATTATATTTATAAGAACACAGAGCAAAGCATCATGAGAAAGAGATCCATTTCTATTTCTGCTACAGGTTTCTTTCACAGCCTTGTGCAGCTTTCTGAGCTCAACATTTTCACGGTAACTGAACAGTACTGTTACCAATGAATTTACATAAAAACTGCTACAGGAGTATGTGTCACTTCAGTAGTGTTATGTATTAGTGTTAATAATATTAATAATATGTAATATTATGTTAATGCTTGGAGATAAGTCTTTACTCTTTTTTTTTAACCTTCCTACTAAATTCCTATGAGATCATAACCATTTGTCCAAGTAGGGTTTTTGCATTTAACTTGTTACCATCTTACTTTCTCTATGAAGTTACAGTTCTATAGCTTCATTTATTGACGCTATATATCCCCTTGGATTCTTCCTAAATAGCTTTAAGTGCTACAAATAATGGTTAGCACTGAGAAAACAAGTATTTCCAAAAGTCAATAAGGTATGGCTCACGCCTATAAGATAGAATTTGTATGGAATTTAAATGATGCATAGGCTTTGTGATGACTACAGTAACATAGACCACCCAATATGTAAATGCCGTGAAGCTTTTTTGCCTTCCTGCATATCTGTTGGTTACGGGTGGAACTATGAAAGGTCTTGTAACCCCAGACAGTTTTCGGGTGTTCTAGACTATGTAGCTAAGACCTAGAAAGTAGAGCAACATCCCATCATGAAAAATAACTTCAGATTGTTTGTGGGATCCAATTTCAAAGTATAGAAAGCTGTTTCAGTTCTGAATGTCTAGGTATAACAGCTGTGTGTCATTCAGGAAAAATGAAGTGTCAAACGAGGAACATGGTCTTCAGGCTTTCTTTAGCTACTGATGTTGAAATTTCACTAATAGAAAACTTAAGCTAAGGAAGTTTTCATTCTGTATTTTGCATTACATTAATTTTAGAGCAGGTTTCGAATGACAGCTGTTCACAGCTAGTAGCCGATTTTCCACAACATCATGACTTGCCTAAGGGAATTCTTACATTAATGGGATTTTCCAAGTCTCTTGACAACTGAGCATACATCATACACATATACGTCTTTTTCCAATAAAATACCATGTTTACTATGATTGGATAATGACAAAAATCCTTTCTGTGTACAGTAACAAATTGTCAGCAATTGTAATCTTGTAAGAGCTGTAATACTCCAGAGTGTTAAATGTCATTTCTACGTTTACCCTTGGCAGCCTAGTTTTTGGTTTAAATCCAAATGGGATGTGTACTGATATGGCATATCTAATATGGCAACCATTCACATGTCAGGAAAATGGAGAGACCATTTTAAATCATTGAGTTAAAGCAGCTAAGGATGTTACAGGATAGCAAGATGTAAATTGTACTTTCCTGTGTAAATGGCCTTTGACAAGTTTGGCTGTAGGTTTCAGTGCTAAATGTTCATAACTATTTGATGTTAGAGAATTGCTAGAAATACTTTTAAATAGTATGTAGTCCCAAATACACCAGATCAATAACTTTTCACAGTACTATGCATACTGTAGCATTTGCTAAACTGTATAGCTAAAGAAAGGGACAGACACTGCAATTAAAGAAAACAGGGCTGAAAAGAGGTCTACTTGATCAAGTCCAGAGTGGCTAAGTGTGACCCAAATCTGATACCCTGGATTTGTCTCTCATGCCATAGAATAGCAGGGACTGCTAGTACTTCAGAGGAACACATGCAGTCCTCAGTGTCAGGAACTATTAAATGTCTATTTTTATTACCCTAAGAATATCCAGTCCTTGAGCCATACCCAGTGTTCCTTATTCACAAACGTCTGCCCAGAATGAGTCACCAGATGAGGACAAAGGAGATGAGAGGAAATTTGATACTATATTTCCTCAAAAATTAGGGATCAGGAAACTTTCTCCTTCAGTATCCTGTTTTGGGCTTGAAATTCAGAAATTCCTCACAAATACTTTCATTTTAATCCTGATCTGGGCTAAAATAGCTGGAGGACGTTAATGCATGAAGGTGTGGGAAAACATTTGGATTTACCTTTCTTAACCCTCTATGCAAGAATTAAGCAAATTTCAGTACTCAGCTAACAGCATGTGTAAAGTGGGCTATACTTGTAAAATGAGTCTCATTTGCTAGTTCTTTGCCAGGAGGCAGTAATAGAAAATTTAATGTGTTCCTTTGGGCCAATGCTATTACACAAGAGGAAGAAATTAAGGTTCATTTAAAGCTAAGTGGCATGAACGAAAATGGCCTGAGTCAGATTCATTGAATGAGGTGTAGATACTTGACAAGATGTTTCTGGTAGAGTCAAAGTAATAAAAAGCTCTGAATTTTTTTAATAGTCTGTGTGTTTTCTCATTTTGAATTATTGCAATATCTCTGTGAAAGAATAAAACCAAAAGAAAGCAAGCTTAGGATTGTATCCTGGAGGAACTAACTCCTGGTGCAGAATCTTTCTGTCATAGAAGAAGTACTATGAGCTTGGTTTGATTTGAATTACTACACTGTTTTCAATTTCTCAGAATTTTTAATTTCATATTGTAATCAATTTTTTTACATTCTTTTTACATACATGTGTTTTTTCCCCTTCAGAATTGATACTGAACTTGCATACAGATGAAAAGAAATCCTCTGTTTTTCTTCAGTAAACTGAACTTCATTTCAATTGTATGGGAAACTAGCCTATATTTATTCAAGAGTTATCATATCTGGGGTCTTTTTGGGACTGGAAAAACACATTCTTGCTATGGAGGTGAACTAAGGTTGATGGTTTCAGTAGCACTGCGATGTAAGATATCCTCATAAGTTAGAAAATAAACCCTAAGAGTATAGTTTCTTTGCAACCATTTTTAATTTCAGTATTTACTTTATAAATAACATTTCTAACTCTCTCCATATATATGCAAATTTTATAAATACAACAATAGATTTTGTTAATTTACCACATTTTTGTGAATTTATTTGTGCCATTAAGCTTGAAGTACTGCTACAAGTAAATAGTTTCATATCTGTAGAAATCTGACAATTTTTAAAAGCATTTTAGCTTTTATGTTGGTTTTTTTGAAATGTGGATACACAGTACAGCTCTGATGTACAATGTAATGAAGTATTAGAAAACAGTTGTGTATCACTCAGATAAATGGTATCATGACTGAAAGAGAATTCATAAACTAAGACTTTATCCGTATATTTTGGTATTAATTTAGTGTTTCTTTAATATGAACTGCCTAATTCTATTTAAATCTCAAACTGGAGAGGATTTTAATCTCAAAGGCAGTGTATCAAATTTTGATTTCTACAGCATATCTGTTACAACTGTGATAAGCAGCTTAAAAAACTTGGTGGCTGAAGTGCTACGGGTGAGCAGCCTGGCATACTTCAGGAAAGGAATCAATGTTCTGAATTGTATTTCAGTAGGATTCTGGCTTTGAATACATGTGCTTGTTTTTTTCTAAACATTCTAGAAATACTGCCCTGTCATAAAAGGGATAGTAATTTAGAAGTTTGCTGGGTTAATGCTAAAGAGAGATTTGACGTTTTGCTATAGGCAAAAGAGATACCATCTGGTGGGGAGAAACCTAAAAAGCTTGACAGCTAATTGTGGTCTGTATACTTCTGAAAATGGGAGACTCAGTCAACTTTCAAATCAGGACACTCAGCCCACTGTGAGACTCAGAAGGAAAGGGTAGTAAATCCCATTTTAAGGGGCAGCTTACTGTCTCTAGCCTCTGAAGAGGAATTTGAGTATACGCCTCTGAAGAGGAATTTGGTGACTTGAGTATAAATGTAATCAAAGTTAAGAACAGGGACCACATGAAAATTGGGTCATGACCTCCATGTGTAATATGTTAATGTAGAGAACACTACTGTTAATTCATTCATAAGAATTTTTACTCCCAAAGTCAAATAAAGAAAAAGACTGTTAAATTAAATTGAATAGCAGGTCACTTTTCCTGGCACATCTCCACTTAATGAAAGTTGGATTTGAGTGTGCCTCCCTCTCAAAGATCTGTGCAGATGGGCTGAGCTCCAACTGCTCTCCATGCTTTTTCTCCAATTTTCTTAGCCCTTGATTCAATTTATGGATTATTTATTAAGTAAATCAGTTTTAAATTAGTGTGTCCAAGGCTTAATAGTTCAGTGGTAAAGCCGTGATATTGTATAATTTGTATTTTGTATATAAAAAGAGGGATCTGGACAAAATGTCATTTGGTAAATAATGTGGTGGTTTTGTTGAGACTCACCAGCAGATTCACTGCTTGATGCAGCTGGGTGATTCACATGTTCCCTAACGGGCTGCTCGGGGCTCCCTGGTTCTACACGCTGCATTTAAAACAGCTTCTGAGTCCTCTTAAAATGATTGCTCTAACATTTACACCTTCTCTTTGTTTACATAGCAGTGAAGCTACATACATTCTCCATCCAAAGAGTGCTTGAGCTTTTATGGATTTTTTTAAATCAGTATTTCAGAAAATTTTAATTTCTTGTGTTGGGGACAAGCCCAAAGGAGAGTAGTTTCTGTTCTGCAGAAGTAGTCTCTCTGCTTAGCAACTATTAAACCTGCAGTGACATAAGAAGTATTCTGATGGCAGAGAAAACTAATACATGTGCAATTCTAGGCATTGTTGAAATGGATAATCGTTAAAAAAACATACGTATGAAATAGAAATCAGACTTTGGGATGGCAGCATCTTTAGGAACTGAATCACACAAATCTTTATCTGAAGAGAATTTTTACACCCCACCCCCCCAATTAATTACCTTTAAGTGGAATCTCATTACTAAGTTATTCATTTGATATTGTCATTCTTTCTTCCCTGCACTTTTCATATCACTGGGTAAGATTTTGAACAGAGAAAGGGAATTGTGGGCAAGTGAGTTCATTGATTTGTATATAATTTCCCATAGTCATTCAGTTCTTCAAGGAGTCATAGCTGTGCCATTCAAGATTTCATGGTCTTAAAAGCTGTCAGGATGAAATTCTGCAGAAAGTGTTGAGAGCACAAACTTTTAAAAGGAATATATATTATTTATTTAGTTACCACCTTTAGGAGAATGGCATTTTTTGGCCTAGAACCTCATCGTAAATTGTACATTGGAGTGAGTTTAAAAGAATTTAAAAAATCTAATAACAGGTTTTTTTCTTCTGGTGAGGTTAAATAAAATGTTAATATTTAATACCTTTGAAATGTAAAAGTAGCTACTTTCTGTCAATACGCTTATGTGCTCCTCACCTGACTTTTACTACAAAGTGGGGATTGCAGTTTAATGAGATGCTTAACAAGAGGTAAAACGTTATTATGGATATATATTACTGATGTGTTCTTTTATTTAATTTGTAGTTCAGCCCGAAAGAAATCCAGTTATTGTATCTTACTAGAGTGCAATTTAAATACCTTTTCTTTTTCCCAGTTCATTGTTGATTACAAATAAAAATGGACTGGCATCTCTTTTTCAAAGGCAAATGTACAGAAGTTTGGTAGCTTAGCTTTCTGACAGAGATAAATTTCAATTATGTGGAAAATATTGTCATGTACAGAAGGTTAGACTGGCTCATACAATAGTTCTTTTCGTACAACCCAAACAACAGACACACTACAGATAAACTGGCATTTGTTCAGATTGTTGAATGAATGTTTAACTTAATTTGTGAACATCTCAACATTTAAGGAAATTATTTCAGACCCCATATTTTGTTCATTGCAGTAAACACAAGTGTTGCAGCAGATGGACTTTCAGGAAAATGTATCCATATGAAATTTGTGATCTTGGGCTATACGAAGGTTAGGAATTAGGCAACTGGAAGCTTAAATTTATCAGCATCAAGTCAAATACCTGCATCATTTCCAACTCCTCCTTCAGTGTCTCATCTCTTCTCACACCTGAATTCATACATCCAATTTGCTTGACCTGTCCTCTTGCTGTGCCAGTTTGTCAATCAGCCAAAGCTAAGTGGCTGGATGACCAGCCAGGTTTTCACGTATTCTCCCCCCTGAGGTGGCAAGCCACACAGGGCTTCTGTTTCTTAGCCAGCTGGCAAGCTAAACAAATGGCTTTGTAAGCCAAACTGTGCACAGCCCAGGATTACGCTGTGCTTGCCACATGGGATTTACCTGATCCCTGTCTGTAGGCAAGTTATATCGGTGTCATGATTCTCAGTACTTTGTGTGCCACGTTCTTTCATTTCCTTAGTAATGTTGCCGTAATGTAGTCAGTTGTTCTGAATAATGGCACGCTTTTCCGTGAATGCCGGTCATTGGATATCAGTGCAGGAAATGCTGTTAGCTGTTTGAAACTCCACAGTGTATGTTTTCTCTGAAGACCTTTGCTACGTAGCTTAGTTTTAAAGAGAAAGTAATCTATGCTTATTGTTGGAGATTGATTATCCTCAGGTGTGTTATCCCCTTTTACCTGTTTTTTAAAAGTGGATATTTAAACAAGAAAATGGAGATTATCAATTAGACCGGCTGCGTTTGCTCACTGAAGAGATCAAGGAATGATAATAAAGAGTTTATAGAACAGTGTACATGTCACATACTCTATGAGCATTTTAATATTAAAACAAAGAACTGTCTTTATTTATTGCAATAAATTAATTTACTTTATTGCCTTCAGAATGGACACAGGTTCAAAAAGAAGTATACTAACTTTTGTTTTTGTTGGCATAGTCTCCAGTAAGTGACAGACAGTTTAAAGACTTGCAAGATTGCCAAGAAACTCTGAACAAGTACATTTGGTGACATTTGTAAAACCAACAACCCAAAGGAAAAGCAGCTGAAGTATAAAAGAATCTAAGACTAGGGTTTTAGATGAGGTGAACCCCAGTTCTTCCAACTGTGAACTTTTGCCAGCAAATAACAACCTATACTTCATGACAGGTACAAAATATATATGGTTTTTTATGAGTGCAAAAATGCCTGCAGAAATTGAGACTCCTAGCTGATATTCATACATTACAATACTGCTTTCACATACTTTAAAAGGCTTCTGAGCAGCTAATTAAAGGTATTAAAAAGAATAAAAGACACTGTAATGAAATAGAACCTAAGGGTAAAAAGGAGGAAACTTCTCCAGGAACACACAACCTTGCCAACTGTTATAAACTTCAAAAGCCAAACTGAAAATCAAATAAATCCCATCTTTAGCCTCACAAAGGATGTTGCCAATATGCTTAGGTAAGAAGATAGAACATTCCAGGAATTGCAAGCCCTCTGAAAAAAATCCTGCCTTCTGCCCCTTTGTGATCATACAATAGAAATCCAGCTCTGCGTGTGTGTGTGTGCACATACGTATGTGTACGCTTGTATGTGTTACAGCAGCCATAGTAAAATGCAGCTTTCAGCTTAAAAAGATGCACTCTTAAAAAATTGTTGCCAAAGGCCCTTATGACATGGAAGTGGGGGTGTCCTCTCATCTTGAGTAAAGGGGCACTACTATCAACCTGTTTGTATAAAATAAACATAATTATTTATAGGTAAAATACATGTGCTGAAAATACTCTCTTTGCTAGTATGTCTTAAAACTGTTTTCAGTATTGTTTGTGATTTAAAAAAAAAAAAAAGCCCAAACCAATGAAAAGGGCTGCTTCTTTATCTAGTGGAAGTCTAATGCTGGCTGCAAAGTTAGTCTTGAGACACACCTGGACTTCACAGATGTAGTAACTGAAGATCAAGGAAGGAGAGAAATATGAGACTGAACAGGTAGACTGTTTCCAGAATTAAAAGTGCAAGTTTCATCAGTTCTGGTCACTTTTCCATTAATCTTTTTCTAAATTTTAATGATTGTGAAGTAGAAAAAGATTACGTGGGCTTTAACAGCAGTAAGTCAGTATATTTCAAATCACTATTTAATCTATTGCATTCACCTACTGTTGTTTTCCTTTGAATCTTACATAAAGATAATTGATTATTCCTAACTACTGTGCTTAAAACCTCAAGGTGTCTCACCTAAATTAAACAGAGAAGTCTCATCTCAATTAAACAGTCTGATTAAAAAACAACATTTGACTAGTTTCATGTGTTGGAACATAGTATCGCCTCCCATTAAAACTCACTGATATCAGTAGCATAAGTGATGTGCTGGTTTGGCATTTCGGTGGAACTGTACCTACATGCAAGGCATGCAAAGTTTGGCTTGCTGATAGTATAAAGGTAAAATCTGTACCTCAAGATAGAGAGTCATTTTTCAGTACCAAAAAGTTTGTGAAATGCAGTGGGTAAATGTTATTAGGTACTTCTGAACTACAGAATGATATTTTATAGCTACAGTAAGCAATCTGCTTGAACTACTTTGGAGAGACAGAGTTCTGGTATCTATCCAGGTGAGTAAAAATTTTTTGTGAAGCTAAATAGAGAATAATGTGCTAGAACGTTACAAGCATGTTTTTCACATAATCTGACAATATCTTCCCATGGTAGTAGTGCTAGATGAATTTATAATTGCTGTAAAACACATAAAATATTGGGAGTAATGCTTAATATTTATATTCTAATCAGCATTAAGCAATTCCAGATTAATCCAAATAAACTATCTTTGGTGGGTTTTTTAAACGGCAATATCCCCTTTCAGTGTCGCTGCAGGACATTACAATGAGGAAAGCTTTCCGGAGTTCCACAATTCAAGATCAACAGCTGTTTGACCGCAAAACTCTGCCTATTCCTTTGCAAGAGACTTATGACATTTGTGAACAGCCTCCTCCACTTAACATTCTCACCCCTTACAGGTTAGTAAAATACAATTAATCAAAACCAATTTCTAGCTTCTTTTATGTAATAGAGATGCTATATGCAGGCACCTTGCTCATGTTGAATAGCACTTGATTATTTAAGGAGCCACAGTAGAAAACTGTGAAGCTGCTGGAGGAATACAGGCAGCAGAAGACATTATAAGCCTTAAAACTTCACTCCACTTTACTCAAATTTTACCTCAGTGTAACAATGGTAAGAAAAAGCCATTTTTATTACCTGTATTTGTTAAACTGTGTAATGCTCTTGGATGTGAAGAAAATAAGCAGTTAGGTATGTAGAAAGAAAGGTCTTTAATGGAAATGAATGTTGTTTGCTGTCCCAAAGTCAGTTTGAATCAGTAGTTGAACACGAGGAGCCACACAGATTTGCTCATTATTTTAAGAGCAACATTTGAGTCATTGGAATGGGAGTTCTCTGATTTATGATACTCTTTTATCTACAGCTTGCATTAAAGTTACTTTTCTAAAATCAAGACCTTGAATACAAGGAAAGATAGTAAAGAATGATGGCACAGGAGGTCAATGTTCATCTTTCAAATGCTCTTCAGTAAAATATTTCAGGGTCTGAGATGCTAGGTATTCCTTAATATGTCTTTCCTCTGCCTTAGTGTTTGAATTCATGTGTTGTCAAATAAATAGTATGCCCTGTTTGCATCACTATATTTCAGGGATGATGGAAAAGAGGGCTTGAAGTTTTATACCAATCCTTCATACTTCTTTGATCTGTGGAAGGAAAAAATGTTGCAGGACACCGAGGACAAAAGAAAAGAAAAGAGGAAGCAGAAGGTATATGTGTTAGCTTTATATAGCTTCTGGTTGTTTTTTCCTGGAAAGGGTTTGCTTGCAGGTATGGTACGTTTTTGGTTATGCAATTAATAACAATCCAAACTTTACAGAGTCATCTTCATTCAACTAAAACTATTTGTATTCATTCAATTCCATCAACTTTAACAAATAAATATTTAATAGTAATAATAATAAAATAATATAGAAGGGCTTAGGGCTTTCATGCTGTCTTAATATAAAAAACAGCAGGTTTGCAGAAACTTGTAAGTCTTCTAGCAATGACTCAAAAAGGAGAAAAAAGGAGGAATACAGCAAGAATAAAGAATTTCACTGGAACGCTCTTTCATAATACAAAATTCTGACAGTCTCACAGGTGAAAAAGCTTGAATGACATTCTGATAGATATGTTTACTCTAAACTAGAAAGAAATCAGTAGGAATAGAATGTTTATATTTTAAAATTAAACACTTTTGCAAAGGTAATGCTACTTTTTTGTTTCACCATTATTCTGTATATTTCATACATGGAGACAGTAAATATAAGTGTTGGATTCATAATTTCATTTCAGACTTAGAATGAAAAGCTACTTACACAGTTATTTTTCTCTGTATTATTCAGCTAATTACCCACTAGACTGAGGTTTCCACCTTTTACAAGTCTTTTTGGTTTACGCATCATATTTCAACTGAAAGTAAATTTTTCTTGCCCTTGAATTGGGATTGTTTTTCATTATTTTGTGGCTGATGTTTAAATGCAACTAGTTAAAAACACTGTCTTAGTTGTCAGTTTTGTTTGCACAACTCTCCTACAGCAGAAAAATCTAGATCGCCCTCATGAACCAGAAAAAGTGCCAAGGGCACCTCATGACAGACGGAGAGAGTGGCAGAAGTTAGCCCAAGGTCCGGAGCTCGCAGAAGATGACGCTAACCTCTTACATAAGCACATTGAAGTTGCTAATGGCCCAGCTTCACATTTTGAATCAAGGTTTCTTCTTATTTTTTCTATCCTTGAAGTACAGATATTCATACTACATAGTGAACATGCTTGAGAAATGGTAAATGATGAGATGCTACTGCTATTCTTGAAATGCACTGGAAATCATTGATTTAGCTCAATCAAAACTCAGTTTTAAAATACTTAGTCAGTGTGTCCTTAAAGGAGTAGTTATTATCTTATTATTTTTAAGAGTAGCTTATATCCTTGGAATTCATTGTATCCTTGAGGATGTGTTGTCATCTGCTCCTTGAGGAAGGTGTACTGTCACTGTTGCAAGCTTGCACCCAGGTGTGTCACTACATTCCAGCCTTGACCTACAAAATCCCTATTATTCCAGTCTCTTGATTTTTCTTAAGCGGACACTGCCAAGACTGTATGGTGGGTGTGATGTGAACAAAGGTCCGCTTGGAACTCAAATGAGAACGCTGAGCTTCTCTTTACTCTTGAGCAAATTCAAGATTTGATTGACATTTCTGGTTATAGTCTATTACAAAATCCAACCTGTTGGATTCTCATTTCACAGCACGTCTTTGCTGGTGGCTAAAAGTACCATTTGACATGGTAAACACCTGCTGTGTTTACGCTTCTGGTGTTTGTGCAAAACCAAGTCCATTTTGCCAGCCGAGAAACATCTGATAGGAAAGAGGGCTGACAAGTAATATTAGGAGGTTTGGGGGTATGGTTTTTGGGGGTTGGGTTTTTTTTTAATTAAAAAGTATTTACTGTCCTCGAAAAAATAGTTACATCCCTATCCTTTGCTGGCCAAAAGCACACCATAAAAGAGTATTAATTATAAGGTTTAAAGTAGTGAGTTCTCCATATATATTGGAATATAGATCCTCTGACAGAAGTTCAGCTAAATTATTTAGTTGTAAATTCTACCATTGTAACATCAGTGGATGTTTCATGAATGTTATAAAAGAATATGGTTGCATATAAATAGGGATCGAGGAGCAGAAACAATTACTGAGTATAATGTCTGTTTCATAATACACTCTGGTATATGTGTATTTCTGATTGCATTGCTATGTTTACTTAACTCAAAATAATGTGACTAATAAACACTAAGATCACACACATAGTGTAGAAATTGTCTGATATACCTGTCAAAATCATTAAACCCTTGAGCTGCTAGAAGCAGTGGCATGGAAAGTGGGATAAATTATTAAAAAGCCATGAAGTACAATATGCAGCATTGGTGCAGAGAAGATACTTGAAGTCAGAAATCAAACTGAAGCACAGAACAGTAGCTGAGGGCACTAATACTTACTTTTACTAAAGGTTACATTGGATCATTTTTCACTATTTTCCTACAGATCTCAAGCATATGTGGACCATATGGATGGATCATATTCGCTTTCTGCATTACCCTATAGCCAGATGTCTGAACTTCTGAACAGAGCTGAAGAGCGAGTGTTGGTCAGACCACATGAGCCACCACCACCACCTCCCATGCATGGAGCAGGAGATGTGAAACCTGTGCCTCCTTGTGTTAGGTATGAAGTAGTCAAGCCACATGCAGATTTAATGGGGAGTTTTAATTTTCCACCACCCCACTAATAGTCATTAGTATTATATCCGTGCAGCCCAGGCAGTACATACATCCTAGGGGTTACATCAGTCCACAGCCCTGACATGTCTGCAGCTGCAGGGCCACACAGGAGTTGGAGAGAAAGCTCAGCATCTAAACCCCATAGGGTGCCATTGTGGAGACAGGCCTCATCTTGCCATTAGTATTGTGACTGTGTCACCTTCTCAGTTAAATGGCAAGACAACTGTGTGGAAGATGTTTCTGTGAAAGATGTTGGAATCTCAGGATTTAGCTTTGGAATTTTGGAAATTTGGAAATCTGAAATTTGTACAACTGAGCTGTGTTTCAGCCTACATGAAAGGAAGAATATATTGCAGTAAGACAGTCAGCTGTCAAAACTATGTATTGATCATGTTGGCCAAATTTTAAGTGCTTTTTTGTTGTTGTTGTTCTTCCCCCAAGTGTTTCTGTTTTCTATTTCCCTGTACCTTTCCAGAACTGCATACATACTTAGAGTATTTTCTAGAGTGAGGATCTGGTTGTAACTTCCCTGTTGGTTGTTTTATACCCAAAGTCTTACTTTATGGTCAGGTACATAAAACTTGGAATAGAGGACAGTTAATTCAGACGCAGTTGTTATATCGGCAAGATATTAGTCTCTTGAAAAGAATGTCTTTTTAGTGTTCAGGAGATTATACACAGAAATGCATAGCTCTTTAGATTAATTTTCCACAACAGCTGAAAGAAATCCTCTGGTGGCGTTTCAGGAAAATAATTTTACTGTTCCCTTTTGTTTTCTTCATTTCACCTATTCATTGCACTATTATGAGTATCTAGCATATAAATGTACCACTCTGTACATAGAATTGACGACCTTTGATATGAGCCTTACTCATCTTGTCATCAAACCTTAAATATGTATTTCAAATGTAACTTGCCCTCATCACTTGTAATATTTTGGTTTGTTTTTAAAGTTCAGTGAATCAAAGCAGTTAATCAACTGCTAGTTCGCTTACTTCAGAAAAATAATTTAAATTTACTTAGAGATGGGAGGGGAGAATTATAATAGTATAGGAAACCTCTGATAAAGATGCAGGTTTGTATAAGAGCATAAACTTGGTTAATAGCTGAATTTGAGCAGAGGTCTGTTGGAAGACTGATGCATACTCCATACTTAGAATTAGGTTTCCTTGTATATGAGGTATGAATACCTTGAAATCATTATAGTACATAATGCTCTTTAATGCCCAGCATTCAATATTCTTAAGTTGCAGAAGTGAATCTATTACTATTTTTTCCACTCTCCAGCTCTAATAACTTTGTCCTGTTATTGGTTGTTTCAGTTCTACTACTGGCTTGGTAGAAAATCGTCCTCAGTCACCAGCAACAGGCAGAACACCAGTGTTTGTGAGCCCCACTCCTCCTCCTCCACCACCGCCGCCTCTTCCATCTGCTTTGTCAACTTCATCATTAAGAGCTGCAATGACTTCCACCCCTCCACCCCCAGTCCCACCTCCCCCACCCCCTCCCACAGCGGCTCTGCAAGCCCCAGCTGTGCCACCTCCACCAGCTCCTCTCCAGATAGCTCCTGGAGTCCTACATCCAGCTCCACCTCCAATTGCTCCTCCCCTAGCACAACCCTCTCCTCCTGTCACTAGAGCTGCCCAAGTATGCGAAGCTGTACCAGTTCACCCAGTTCCTCCACAAGCTGAAGTACAGGGACTTCCTCCACCACCCCCACCTCCTCCCTTGCCTCCTCCTGGCATTCGACCCTCCTCTCCTGTCACAGTTGCAGCCCTTTCTCACCCTCCTCCTGTTCTGCACCCTCCTCCCACAACCATTGTCCCTGGCCCTCATGCCCCCCTAATGCCTCCATCTCCACCATCCCAAGTGATTCCTGCTCCTGAACCCAAACGCCATCCTTCAACTCTTCCTGTAATCAGTGATGCTAGAAGCGTTCTGCTGGAAGCAATACGGAAAGGTAATGTTTGGCTATTAAGGGGCAAAAAGAACAGTCTCAGAAACTTGCTAAATACACTTTAGCTTTGAGAGATGGAATATTTTACATGTGTAAGAAGTTAGTTTAGAGGTATGCATCTTAAGTCTGTTTCTGCTTTCTATTCTCTACAGTGTATGCATTGCCAAGTAGACAGATTTTTTTCAATTTGTAATTGCACTTATCAGATGTTTAGTTTGGATGGCAAAACTGGTTCTCTGTGGAAGTTAGATTTAAAAAAAAAAAAAAAGTACATGTGTTTATAGATGATCTGCAGAGCTTATCTCTTCATTTCTGTTTACCTGAAAATGTAGCTATTTCTGATAACCCACAGATTGTGTAGAAGACCAAAACATTGTTTTTCACAGACTGTTACATAAAAGCAGAACAGATCAATTTGCATTGGAATTTTGATCATGTATCAGTGTATTACAACAACATATAAGTGATATCAGAATAAGGAGGTGATTGGTGACAGCCAACATGGCTTCACTAAGGGCAGATCGTGCCTGACAAATTTGGTGGCTTTCTATGATGGGGTTACAGCATTGGTGGACAAGGGAAGAGCAACTGACGTCAGGTACCTGGACTTGTGCAAAGCGTTTGACACTGTCCCACATGACATCCTTGTCTCTAAATTGGAGACACATGGATTTGACAGATGGACCACTTGTTGGATAAGGAATTGGCTGGATGGTCACACTCAAAGAGTTGCGGTAAACGGCTCGATGTCCCAGTGGAGATCAGCGATGGGTGGCGTTCCTCAGGGGTCGGTATTGGGACCGGCACTGTTTAACATCTTTGTTGGCGACATGGACAGTGGGACTGAGTGCACCCTCAGCAAGTTTGCCGATGACACCAAGCTGTGTGGTGCGGTCGACATGCTGGAGGGAAGGGATGCCATCCAGAGGGAACTTGACAGGCTTGAGAGGTGGGCCCATGCAAACCTCATGAATTTCAACAAGGCCAAGCGCAAGGTCCTGCACATGGGTCAGGGCAATCCCAAGCACAGATACAGGCTGGATGATGAATGGATTGAGAGCAGCCCTGCGGGGAAGGACTTGGGCGTATTAGTGGATGAAAAACTGAGTATGACCCAGCAATGTGCGCTCGTGGCCCAGAAAGCCAGTTGCATCCTGGGCTGCATCAAAAGCAGCGTGACCAGCAGGTTGAGGGAGGGGATTCTCCCCCTCTGCTCCACTGTGGTGAGACCCCACCTGCAGTACTGCCTTCAGCTCTGGGGTCCCCAACATAAGAAGGACATGGACCTGTTGGAGCGAGTCCAGAGGAGGGCCACGAAGATGGTCAGAGGGCTGGAGCACCTCTCCTATGAGGACAGGCTGAGAGAGTTGGGGTTGTTCAGCCTGGAGAAGAGAAGGCTTCGGGGAGACCTTATAGCAGCCTTCTAGTACCTAAAGGGGGCCTACAGGAAAGATGGGGAGGGACTCTTTATCAGTGAGTGTAGTGATAGGAGAAGGGGTAACAGTTTTAAACTGAAAGAGGGTAGATTTAGGTCAGATGTAAGGAAGACGTTCTTCACTGTGAGGGTGGTGAGGCACTGGAACAGGTTGCCCAGACAAGCTGTGGCTGCCCCATCCCTGGCAGTGTTCAAGGCCAGGTTGGATGGGGCTTGGAGCAACCTGGTCTAGTGGAAGGTGTCCCTGCCCATGGTAGGGGGGTTGGAACTAGATGATCTCTAAGGTCCCTTCCAACCCAAACCATTCTATGATTCTATGATAAATGACATTCAGAAATTGTTGCTTAAGACTTAAAGCTGTTAAGTATCTAATCTTGACACGTCTCAACACGGCAGTGGAGTAGTCTTTACATTGCAAGGTTCCCCGCTGGCAGGATGCAAGCGAATGGCGGAGGTGCAGGGCAATGTTTTCCTGCTGATCTAGCAAGGAGCTGTATGTACAAGCTGTACCTTTCAGCTTATGTGCTTACGGCCAGAAAAATCCCCACTGCACTGTGAGTGCTGCTGTTTGACTGTGTGGTATCTTTGAATAGTTAATCTTTCTCAAATATTTCAAGTACTACATTGTTCTGATTTTCCCCTGCACCTGCAACCCAGTACAGAATCTGTATGGTACTGTAATATCAGTAGATAGGCTATAATACTAATTCAAAATATTTTTGAAGCATCTATATGCACATGAATTGATAACATCATTGAATCTAAAGAAGTATCAACAACAGTTGAGTACAGCAGTGGTGCGTGAACATTAGTAGAGAATGTCAGCGAAAAACCTAATAAAGGAGAGCCTGCTGGTATAGGTCAGGTGATTCCTGAAAATGCTTTTGACCAAGTCTTGCGCAAGAAACAAAGGCTCAAGTTACTACAGCTTAAATCTCACCTAAGGACCTGTGCGTGTGTTGCCTGTCACTTGGCAACAGCGGTGTCGTGGGTATAAAACCAAAATATATAATCTCTGTCATGTTTTTAACTAAGTTACTGGATTTAACTTTCTCATACTGTTGGGATGTGTTATTTCTCCTTTCTGATTGATCTTTAAGTAATACGTCATCCCAGACCAGATCATTACATAATCAAAGCTGGGTTACAAGAAGTCCTATCTTGTTAGGATACTCAAATAGCTATAACTTCTAATTGAAATCATGAAGAGAGAGTACAGAAAGTGTCTGGAAATGCAAATAATATAAATGGCTTAATCACTTACAATGGTACTAAAAATGTGGGTGTATTTTTAATCAGAAATCAGAAGCAGGATATTATGATGGAAGGACTGATGATCTAGTCTGCTGTTGCAATTCTGACATTCCTCTCTTTAAAACTTTGACAGAGAACTTTCATCTGAGGAGGACAATGTCCTCAGCCTTCATTTTTGCTTGCAAAGCATTTTGTGAATCATGAGGTAAATACTTTGTATAATGATAAAGGAGGAGAGTAACATGTTTGTGATTTGATGTTCTTTAGGTATTCAGCTACGCAAAGTTGAAGAGCAACGTGAACAAGAAGCTAAACATGAGCGCATTGAGAATGATGTTGCTACTATACTTTCTCGTCGCATTGCTGTGGAATACAGTGATTCGGAAGATGACTCAGAATTTGATGAAGTGGATTGGTTAGAGTAAAATTATTACATTGCTGTACACTGCAAAATCGAATGCTAATGTCCATTGTGGTGCTTGTTCTTTGAAAGTTTGATGGTCATTTCTAGTGGTTTTTGTATTCTTTTCTTTACATAATTAATCCACGTTTTTCTACTTTTCAGTTTACAAAAAGCTCCTAGTGCATCTTTGAAACTAAATGTTTTCAGTGGCTTTTCTTACACTTCTTTTTTGAAAGAACATACTTTGTTCCAATAGACCACTAAGTATTAAGCATGGGCAGCTGTTGGTAGAGTAGCAGTTTCAATTTTTTGGCATATCTTAACTGTGCACTTTGTGAATTTTAAGTTAATGAAGGCAACTGAGATTGACATTCCAAGGGCAGCTGTATGTACTAATGAGCCTTATTCCACTTCTGATAGTGTTTTAAAACATTACTAGCTATCAAGATATCACTGCCTCGATTACATCTGTACACTAAAAGTACATATAGTTAGCAGCACTGAACACACTGAAAGGAAAATGGATCTTTGGGGAGTTTTATTATTGTTTTATTGTTGTTTTTAAATAATTATGGCCTTATTTGAATGTTTAGAGATTCCCCTTCCCTTCTTCCCTCCCAGGTACATATTGTGTGGTACTATTTTTGCCTGCATAATAAAAATTTAATTTTTTTTTCCTTGTGAAATCTTTTGACTTAAACATGCTGTGTAACTTATGTAACTGTTAAAATAACAGTTTGATTTAATAAATGGTTCATTTTAAATGTTCCTGGCTGTTGCTTTTTCAATGAAGCCTGCTTTTCACTGGTATACCTGAGGGATCCTTGAATTTCAAAGATTTAATCTGTGGTCTACAAAGTTACAATAAATATTCTCACCTGATCTAAGGACCCCTGTTAAACAGGAAAATGTGTGTCATCAAATGATATCTATATGCATAACTACAAAAAAAAGCTGAAATCTTACTGTGATCCATTAGTTTAAAAAAAAAATACGAAATTGGGAGCTTGTGGCTTATATGATTTAGAGTTGTTTTTTTAAAAACACTTTACCATCAATGTATCTTGAGAAGAGAAGGGGAGATGCAGCAGTCGAAATCATGGTTAATGAAAGATGACAAAGAACATGGGTGATATTGCAAAGTCATTTTTTTAAGTGCTCTCTAGCAGTGTATTGCATGTTGTGCAGGGCTTTCGTGTTTCCCTTCTCTGGAATAACTCCTTCAATTCTGAGGACGTAGTCAAAGCCTATTGAGAAGGCAAGCATGAGAGACTGCGAGAACACTCTTACCTTGCCAACTCATTCCTGAAAGATAGAACTGTGTAACAGAGGAAAACAAGTGTTGAAAGTCAGAATGAGATTTCTGAAAGTAGAACATGAAATGTTCTGCAGGCCACGGAACAGTTTACAGGGGCATGTAGTTAATGAGCTATTTTGGGGACTGGGCAAAACTCCAGAGGTACAGACTGGAGCAGAAATACCGTACAGCAGCCCTTCCACCTTTACTGTCACCATCTCAGCCTCCACTATAATTTTGTACATAGCCTACTATATTCAAACTTTCTCCACTGCAACAGTAGTGCCTTTGCTGTGCTTGTGGGAGAAAAGTGATTGTCACAATTTGTGAATCTGCATCTTTATAACTATGGATGCAGTTCTTCCCTATATGCTATTCTCTTTGATAGTTGTCTTCACAGTAACACCATCTGGTTTATTCTGCCATTCTCAGTTATCTTTCAAAGCACATGTCCTTCTTAATAGCTCATCATAGTGTTAAAGAAAAGATGTCAGATGCACTGCTGCTTAAAATTTGGTGGTGTTTAATCTAGGTGTTTCCTTGGATCTCATCACACCGTTGCACCTGCACTGTAGGTATGCTCCGAGGGCGCCCAGGTGCTGTGAACAGGATATAACTTCCCTAAAGCAAGGAGACAAGTTAGAAAAGAAAAAAAGAAAAGAGAAAAAAGAGAAAAAAAAGAAAAAGGAATTAAAGAAGAAAATGAAAAGAAATGAAAGCAAAAAGGCCCTTACATACTGCAGCTATCACATATTGGACTTGAAGGTATAAAAAAATCCTTATTGACAAATGGTTGATAATGACCTGCTTCGCTGTCCTGGTGATTAATAATATCCCTTCCAAACTGGTACCCAGGGCAGACAAAGCACTCATTTAATATGACACAGTCACACGGAGTAATGAACCTTGTCTGAGAAAAGTCAAGAGTTAAATTCAGTTAACATCTCAAAGGCGGGATTCTTGGCCTTCTGCCACCGCTACAGCTTTCTGCCATAGCAACTAGTCTCCAGATAGCAATAGCATGATTCACTAGTAGTGAGAGATGATTGTTGAATTTGAATATTTGCATTTATAGATCTACTCCAAGCAATGCATTTGCAATCTCAGTGATTTGTGTGGTCTCCTACTGCCCTTCTCATTTGGCGGAATGCTGTGCAGAGGGCTGCTGGGCTATTCATGCCTGTGATTACATGCGTAATAGATTATTGATTGCTTTGTCTTGTAAGGTACTAAATCAAGTCGTCTGTATTGAACTGTTTACAGAGTCTGTTGTTTACTTCTGTACATTTACAGCAGCTGGTTAACATCAAAGGCTCAAAGTCTGCCACAAAATTAACGTGTCAGTAATATTAATATAAGTGAAGAGAAACCTTTGTTCAACTTCACACCTTTCTTGAACTGTAATCTGGAACAGTTAAAAACTATCTACCTCCTACTGCAAAATGGGGGAAAAAAGAACAAAATAAAAAGCGTAGAAAGAAGAAACAAAAGGTACTTGGTGGCAGAACCAGAGCAGATGGCTAGGGAGGTGCAAAATTGGTCACTCGGGTTTTTTATCAAAAGATAAAGTAGTAGCAATGACGCAGCCATCATGGACAGACCAAAAATAAAGAGGTAAATGGAAGAGAACAAGTACTGAAGAAACAAAAATTACAGAGGGACATAATTCTGGTTCTTTTTCTAGTGGTGTATTGTGAACAGCAGCCATTAGATACTAGATATCATTAAGGGATTATGTTCTCTCCTGTTAAATTGGGATTAAAAAAGCAGGAGGCATTTTAAAAAGACCTTTAGTCAATAAAATCATCCTTCCCTGCGTGTGGCACAGAGGTGCACTCCTCGGCATTCGGCTGGACGCTGACACACCATCGCCTGACGAACGCACAGACTGACGCAGAGTCGGCTTCAAAAGGTGCCGGGGGACCTGAGCGTTCAAACAGGTACCCATGGCCCCAGGTGTGTTGCGATGGACGTTCTCCACGATGCTGAGACCATCTCACCTTGGATGCAGCTGCCACCCCTGAAGCGCATCCCCGCTCGCCTTACCTGGTGGCTGTGAGCCCTGAGGATGCAGACAGAAACACAGATTCTGTAGTGGGCTCCCACATCTCGGTCTCCCCAGCCCACAGATTACCGTGGGGACGGAGGGTCAACACCAGCTTCGGAGCATCGTGCAGAAACCCCGGCCTGACAGCCGGGTACGGCTCTCTGCACAGTTGCTAGCTCAAAGCAGTGTACCCATAGAAGTACAGGATCGTGTCAGCAGTCAGAGCCCCAAAACCCAGCATTTGCACAAACCAGAGCAGTTCCCAGAGGAGAGACGTGGAGGCAAAGCCTCAGCACAGCCTCTGCAGCCCAGGTCTGCATCAGCAAAAGATCTGGTGGAAATTCAACTTGAGCTCCATCAAGTGTCTGCTCTGGATCCTCAGCTACAGGTTAGAGTGAGAGAGGTTTACTCGCTCATTCTCTTTTGCAGGTGGCAAGAGTAAACCCCGGGAGAGGACTCATAACTAGAGGCCAGGGGCAGCAACAGCGGTCTCCCTTTTGGGGGCTGCCCAGCTGCTTTTTTCCCTCTCCTTTCCACCCGTAACTACTTTTCCCACTTGAATGACTCTCGGGGGCAAGTAGCCTGCCCGTGGGAGACATTTCACACACCCTCTGTGGCTGCAGCTGGGACAGACCTTACTGATTGCCCAACTCCTTCTTGGGCACATCACCAGCCCCTGGTAGACGTTAGTTCCCCCATCTGCCCCTTGAGCTGTTTGGGACAGCACTCCCTCACCCGATCCAGCCCTAATGAGCTGCGGTAGGTCTCAGTGCTTAAAAAGCAGGTTTCTGGCAACTCAGGAACCTGCTTTTTTGACAGCACACGTGCAGGGAACACTCCTGTGAGCGACTTGGCTGTCACCTCTGAGGGCTTAATGGATGCCTGGCAGCACACCACCAGGCAGCCACGGAGGAGCAGGCAGGGGACGGGAACACCGTCCCCATCCCAGCTGCTGCTAGAAGAGGACACATGGAAAAGCCCTGGGAAACGGGCGCTGAGGCACGGAGCAGACCCCACGAGGCTGGAGCTGCGTAGCCCTGCGCCTGTTGGAGTGCCAGCCCCGATACTGCGCAGCCCCCGTGATTTTTCTTTGATCCCTGCCACACTGCGAGCAGATGTCTTCCCCTACTCCCCCCCCGATAACACTTTTTCCTGGAGAATGGGTTCTGCCATGTTAGTCATCGCTTGTGCTCCCCGACTGCCAGCAGCCCCTGACAGTAGCATCAGTAACAGCCTCTAAAGAAAATTGCATCCATCCCATTTCTTTGAAGTTCTTATTTTTAGAGTATTTGCAGGCTCTGGGCAGTTGTCCCATTACCTTCCTTTTAGCAACGGGAAACATCTGGGTACCGATCAGAGCAGGTATCAAGTGTCTCTCGCCAAACAGGGCTGAATATTCCCCTCCTTGCGTTTCTTTCTCTGATAGTTCAATAGCTTCACTTTCAGACACAAGATAGCTGAGGGCCCCCTACAGACAAGTTCTTTCCATTTTCCATTCCCCCCATTTTAATGCCTTTAAATAACAGTGTTTGCTCTTGCAAAACCTGTGAGTTTTTACCACAGCTTCATGGCAGCATCCAAGAAAAGCTTCAAAAATTATCTCCCTTCAGTGCGATTCTACACTGCGTGTTAGCCACTTCCACTCCTCAGCGAGGCATTTGCTTCACCACAATTGAAAAATCTCAGAACAGAACTCCTTGGGGCCCCCCCAGTCGCTCCCGTGGAGCGAGCATCCACGCTCAGTGCCGTATTATCACAGCTTGATTTTGCATTTCAGTACCAGCCAGAAAAAACTCCAGCAAACTGCCCAAGACTTCTAACCTCATGAGAAAGCAGCGCGCAGCCCGGCTGTCAGCACGCCGCTGTAGCTTTAACGCTCCCCCTTCGTGCCAAGCAAACGGTGTAGGCTGAAATTTTCCAGCTGCCTTTCGGCAAAGCCAAAACCAGTTTGTAGGCATCGCCAGCAGGACGTGTGGCCAACATGGCCCCGTGCAGGGATGGGGGGCACCCACCAAGCAGCCCGGTCTGGGGGCTGCCCTCCCTCGCTGTGCCCCAGAGAGGGTTGTGTCTTCTGGGTTTTAAAAGCACAAAGAAGTTAGCAATGCTCCCAAAAGAGAGAGGTGTTGCCCATGAGCCGGCATCGTTTGCTGGCCGGTGGGATTCCTGGCAGTAATTCAGTGGTGATTAATTAGAAGAAAACATTAGGATAACTCCTTTGCGTCTATATACTTTGTTCGCTGCATGGTTGCTGTACCCCAGCGCCTGCCAGGAGGAGTTTCGGTGCAGATGATTCATCTTCGGATGAATCAGAGGTAGAAAGCAGCGACTCAGCCCTTGTCCCCCCCACAGGGAGAGCCCAGCTCTGGAAGCAGCCGAACATATCTGGGCTTCCCAGGTGGCTCCTGCAGGGATCTCTCTGATGGA